AAAGAGATGGGCATTAGGAGAACCATCAACCAAAGGATACAAGGATGGCAAGAGAAAAAAGTTTGCAAAAGCATGCTTCTCAATGACCAATGGTGAAAAATCAGTTTTCTGTGGTGTTTTAAAGACAGCAAAGCTACCTGATGGTAGTGCTTCCAACATATCCAGGTGTGTGCAGCTAGATGAAAGAAAATTATCCGGTTATAAAACCCATGATGCCCACTTCATGTTACATTACTTGTTGCCAATACCAGTTAAAAGCATACTTCCTAATCATGTTGCTATCCCTTTGATTCGTCTAAGTTCTTTCTTTCACCGTTTATGTCAAAAAGTTATCACAATGGAAGAGTTAGATTGCTTGGAAGTAGAGATTAGAGAAACAACGAATCAATTGGAAAGAATTTTTCCTCCAACATTTTTTGATATAATGATTCATTTGCCTGTTCATTTGGCAAATGAGGTAAGGTTGGGAGGTCCAGTTCAAAATCGATGGATGTATCCTCCTGAAAGGTATATGTGTACATTAAAATCATATGTTCGCAACAGAAATTATCCAGAAGGATCTATTGCTGAGGCATATTTGGTTGAAGAGTGTTTGACTTTATGCTCTAGGTACTTACATGGAGGTGTAAAGACTCGATTTAATCGACGACCCCGAAACAATGATGAATATGATTCAATTAATGCACAATCTTCTAGTTTGTTCCCTAATACAGGTTGTCCTTTAGGAGCGAAAAAGAGCGATCCAATTGTTTTGGATGACATGTCACTAAATCAGGCACATATATACCTATTGAACAATTGTGATGAAGTTCAAGAATATATAAGGTAATTCAATCACTTATAGCNAGTATATACATATTTGTTTTTTTATTATTATGAGGTGGTGCACATGCAACTAAAGAAGATATTGGACTACCAAATTTTAAGGAACCAAGAGATATTGAACAGGTATCTTTGTAACTTTGTTTATTTATATATGCTCTGGAATTGTTTATCTACATATCTTTATATATCCTCTGGAACCAAGAGAATTGTTGGGTAAGGGCTCTCAGTTGTCATGTTAGAGTTCATTTCTTTGAGGGAATTCTGATGATGGTTTAAACTTGCACCTCCCTTAAGCTTGTAACCTATTGTGAACACCAGCTTGTAATTCTTAAAGTAGGAAAAGGAAACAAACATAACTGTTCTGCAGCATCATGAACCATGCTTCAGTTCAGTATAGGTTTCTTGTTAATCCCAGGTTATGCATGACGATGACAGAATGCACAATTCCATCCTCCATATTCTGTAATTGTTGGAAAGCTGGTGAAGCTCAGCTTGTGGAACATTCAGGGGCTAGGACATCATGTACACCTTTGGGAAATTTCACACTTTACTAGACTATTTAGGGCTGCAAATCATCTGACTTTCCAAATGCCGCAACAAAATCATATCTTGAAACCTCTTTCCTGAAAAAGATTGTACTTGCAACGATGCTGTTATGGGCTATTATTCCATGTTCCATAAGCTTCTGTGTTGTCTGGGTAACTTTTCATGGATTCTCCTCTTTTTTTTCTCTTATCCTTTTTCGGATATGTGGTCGCTGGTTTCATTTTAGACCTAACTGTCCTCTCATATTTGGGAGAACAACTCCAAAGAGGTTTGATTGAGTGCCAGTCTTTTAAATAAGCTGTTTCTCCATTTACTGCATAGAGTCTCTTCACCACTTTGGAGGGATGTATTAGGGCATACTGGCCAGGAAACTTTGTATAAATTAGTTGGCCTCTTGAGAAGCAGTTCGGGTTGCCCTTAACCTTTCAAACTTTTAAATTTAGGAAGCATGTGTGGTGTACCTCTAATGGGAATGATGACATGAGAAGTTTCTTTTAGGTGTAACAGGTGAAAGAAATTATGAAAAATTTATATGCATCGGAAACCAAACACATAAAAAGTATCTTCTGGTGGTAAGAGTTGGGAATTGTATGGTTATACAAAGACATAGGGAGGAGGCAGGAACTGGTGCTGCTACTGACATTGGTTCTCAAGGTCTTTTCTAATACTCTGATCAATTATAGCTTCTGATCCTATGTTCAAAAATTTGTTGATCCTCCACAAAGGGTCGATAAAACAAATGTAGACTAGGGGTTGTTATGTGTCTTATTTCTTAAATATTTACTTTCTCACATACTGTTATATATTCTTACTAGTTGTTAGGCTAAAGTAATTTAATTCTTTTTGTATGTAGGATGAATCAAGCGGCAGCTCTTAAGAGAAAAGTTCCGAATCCAAACAAAGATCAAAGTCCAATGAAGAATATAGGTTTCGATTTCCAATACCGATCAAGTGCTGAACTAGCCGAAAAATTTCAGATTAAGAGAGAAAAGCTTGCAAGTGATCGTAACGATAAAGCTGCTAAAGAGCATGTATTACTTGGAGTTAAAAGGAAGAATTGTATGCCTGCAACATTAGAAGGACAAAGTAGATAGAAGTTAACTCAATCCGATGTGTTAGTTCAAAAGTTAGGAAGGAATAGATTACCGGTGTACGAATTAATCCAATCGTCTTCAAGGGAAGATCTGAACACTTCACATAGTATTGCAAGTAAAGGACAAATTAAACAAAGGTCAATTCAATTGGAGGAGCCCATCAAAAGCAAGGAATGAGTAAATTACCTGTGCCCACATCCATGATCCAATCATCTGCAAAGGTAGATCCTAACACTTTACATATGCTTAGAAGAACACAAGGTGAAGGAGAGAAACAACTTGATATTCAGGAGCTACAAAATTGCAAAGTGGTAAAGACAAACTTAGTCCTACCGTCAACGAGTGTTAATCAATTTCTAAAAAAATATGGGATACAAGTCGGTGGTGAAAAACATCCTGATAATCACCCAGAAAATGAAGTCAGATTTATGTCCTCTCCTATTATTGATGAGCGTGAAATAGAATTGGATAATTTTGCTACACAAGATGAAGTTGGTGACGATGAATTTAATGGAGATGAGGACATGAACATCGATGGTGCTACAGGTGGTATGTCTTAAACCTTATAACTATTCTACATATTTTGATTTTTTTCTTCTTATGTCTTGCTTGTTATATCAATCTAGGGACATCAGAGAAGAAAAGAGTTCGAGGCAAACAACATGTAAGAATATTCATGCAAGAAGTTTTGAAGAAAGAGAGGAGGTGACATTTGATAAAGGACAAGCAGTTGGACCAACTGACAAGAGAGTGTCTGATTTGACCAACTTTTTAGGAACAATTGCAAGGAATCCAAGATTTATCCCCTTGGTGCATACTAGGTGGCATGCTGTGTTAAAGGATATTAAGCAACGAATGTGGGAATATGTCAATGTAAGTATAACTAATTTTTCAATTATATATTTTTTGTATTTTTCCTACTAAGAAAAGATATATATATATATATATATATATATATATATATATATATATATATATATATGTGTGTGTGTGTGTGTGTGTGTGTGTACATGTTTGTATGTTGTTTTGCAGTCCAAGTTCTTAATTCCAGCTGAAAGAGAGAAGTGGGTAATGACTGGTCTTCGTGATGCTTGGAAGCGACACAAGAAAAATATTAAGAAGAAATATTTTGATAAAAATGCTACTATTGACGAAATGCTACAAAATCGTCCCATTGAGATACCCGAAGTTCAATTCTGTCAATTGATTGAGTATTGGGATGACGAAGATGTCCAAGTAAGATCAAACCGTGCATTTCTACATTTTCTACCTATTGTTGCAGTATATTACAAATGGCATTTCTACATTTCTACATTCTCTACCTATTGTGAGCTACCTACTATAGTTTTAGTAGAGCTGTCAATATTAGAGCAAGCTTGAGAAATTAATTACAGTCTTCATACGATATAGAGTTAGTACACTCATAGAGGTTGATACTTTGAGCATTTTGTATGCAACTTGAAAGCCTTAATACATTGTCTAACACCATAAAGTATGCACTGAGCTGTATAGATTAATGCACCAGTAGCAATAAAGGATGGTGGAAAATTAAGAATTTGATGGCCACCCGGCAAAGGAAGATCAAGAAAAATTGACAGCCGATCAAGCTGTTAAGAGGAGTATAAAGTCAAAAAATACAACACCCTCTATACCATCAAGAATATAAAAATCCAAGAGTTACACTATTCTTTTTAAACGATTGAGTAACTTGAGAGATCTCATATGAACATATGCAGTTGGAACTGGCTATTACATTGCATTGTCTTGGGCACCTACAAGAATATAACTTTACTAATAGTTTAAAGGTACTTGAAAATGCATTAGTTGACGTAGATAGAAAATCGTCTGCTACCATTTCAAGAATCTTCTTTCTTGTGTATGCTTTATCCGAAATGTGATTGGTCGATTGTAGCACTCTGCCACGCTCCACCACTATAAACACCTGGGATTCTGCCTTCAACTATTGCTACTAATATTAGTGAAAAAACAGAAGCAATAAAGGCCACGTTCAAATTATATTGTTAGCAACAGATATATTGTTTCCTTTTTGATTTATTAATTAATATTCTTTTTTTGTTGTTAGGCTATGTGCCAATTAAATTCTGAAAATAGGAAAAAACAAATGTGGACGCACCGAATGGGACCTATTAATTTTGCAATAGTGCGTGTGGCATTGGTAATATTTAGTCGACACTTTGTAATCTGACTTTCATTTCTTTTTGTACTTTGTTGGAACACAGTGATATTTTTTTATATCTTCTTTGATGTAATTTGTAGCGCGCAACCAAAGAGAATAATGAGGAACCATCAAAGTCTGAAATGTTTATTACAACTCGTACAAAGAAAGGGAAGGAAGTTCATACGGATACTCAAGTTGCAATAGTAAGTCATGCTGCAAGTTAAGTCTTGTTATTGTATTTGCTCTCTTTAACTGAATGTGTTTCTTTAATATGGAAATTTGTACAAGATGTTAGATATTTGTCAACCCTTCTCAAATAATATGATTATACCTGCACAAGATTTTTAATATGATGTTGCCTGCACAGAATTCTCCATTCTGTATCTGTGAGTCATAAATGTGGAAAGAAAATAAATATTCAGAAGTAGATGATATTATTTGTTTCAGAAGTAGTCATTTGGAGCAGATACTTGTCCAGTCTAGTAGAAGCTCGAACCACCATTGTCCAGTCTTTCCCAGTTGATTTCCTTGCTATTCCATTATCTTTAGATTTAACATCCTTTGATCCAGTAACTTATCCAGCAGTTTCCCCGACTGCTGAAATTTTCAGCTTGCAAAGCAATCTCACGATCCTCCTTGTCACTTTTAGGTTCAGCGGCTTCTTGTGAATCTTCCTTTTGCACAACTTGCTCGCTTCCATCCTTCAAAAGAGCTATTGTGCACCAGCAGTAGATTGATTAGCAATTAGCTGAGTAGCATCTTTAGCTTCCACACCTGTTGATTTTTCAGTTGTTTTACCGAATCTAACAGTAGGTCGATCACCATCTGTCGCACCAGCTTTTGCCTTCTCATGTGCAAACTGTTGTACATTAGTTTGCCCCTGTCCTTTTTGTCCAGCACTTGGACCTGTAGCAACACCAGCCTGCTCGTTAACCTCCACTTGTCGCTGCACCTCGACTTTAGATTTCTCAAGATTTTACACAGCCTCCGACTTCTTCTGATTATTCCTCATAAGCACAACATTGTCCATAGCGACAGGACATGAGTTACTCTGCCAAGCAATAGCTACATCCTGTGAAAATCTAGCAAAAGCTGTTTCAACAGGAACTATAGCAGTACTAGTGACAGCTGCTACATGTGATGTCTTAAACGGATTTTCAGCATACTCATGATCCCCCTGATGTGATTTTGAAGCCTGTGTAACAGCTATAGGATTAATATGCTCTCTAACCCATCCATCACCTTCTTTCAAAGCCCTCTTCTCCTTCAAAAATAGACGCAAATCACCACTGTATTTTTCCCCAACAGCATGTTCATGATAGCGCTGCATATGTTGATGTTGAATTGATGTTTTTAATCGTCTCTCCCACAGCTTGAAGCTGGAGAGAGGGCTGTGCATCTTAGAAATTCCTCTTTCTTTTGTGATGCATCAGGATGAAGAATTTTGATGCAAACAAGGGTATGATCAAGGTTGCCTTTGTAAACTTTCCCATAGCCCCCTTCGCCAATCACCTTAGAGTCAGAAAAGAAATCAGTAGCCACCTCAATCTCTTCTTTGCTTCAGCAGCTGTTTTCCTTAGGCTTTCTTCTCTTTTCTGGGCTGCATTCACTCTTCTTGCTTCTTCAAGGCATTCAAAAGAAAGTAGTTGGACCTGAAAGATAGCCAGAGGGTTACGTTCAGATATGGTTGATGGTAACCGGGGAAGTGTTCAGATGGTTCAAAAAAAAATCTTGGTTATAAATGCAGGATACAACTATTTTTTTCTTTGTTGACTTTTATGGAACTTTTCATTTGGTGAAAGGTTCTTCCAGCTATGGGGCTAATGTTTCTCTTCTGGATACTTGTTATTCCATCAGTTGCTTTATTCTTGATTTTTGGAGGCTTGAGGGGATAAGAAATTCCCTTGTCCTTGTGATTATAAAATAATTTTTAGAGCCTATAAAGGAAGTTTTTGCAAATATGCTGTGGTGAATTCAGTTGTGGTTGTCGCAAGGTGTAAATTTATCCACCGGTTTGTAGAGAAAAAAATGATAATATGAAGAAGTTTGGCAACAGAATAATGTGGGTACTTGGGGAAAAAAACAGTTCTGTTTATTTGAAACTTCATATTAAAATGGTTATGATCATTGTCACTGAAAAATCTATTGACATTCTTGGCTAAATTTTGAGGTATGTTAAACTTTTATTTAATCTGACTTGACTTGTTAAAACTTATTTTAGTGTTCGATGCTTCTTGAATTGTAAGTGATGTGTAATAATATTTTTTTGACAGTCTGAACTTCAGAATCGTCAAAGTTCTGGAGAAACAGCAGATGATGCATTTATGGCTGTATTTGGAAAGGAGCAGCCTGGTCGGGTTAGATGCTATGGTAGATCGGTGACGACAAGCTCTCTGAAAAAAGATGAAGAAATCACCAAGCTTAAACAAAAGCATGCCAACGAAATAACTTCTCTGAAGGAAGAAATGAAGGAAATGATGAGGGAAGAAATGCGATGTTTTTTTAGTCAATTGGTGAAAAACAACCCTGGACTAGATTTTCATGATATACAAGGGTGTGTTGGATCTAATATTCCTTCACCGGTTGATGCAAGTAGTGCACGAGCTATGAGAGGCAAAAATCCACAACATTCTTCTGGCTCAACTCATGCCCGAGTATTGAAAATGTATTTATATTTTACAATTCTAAAAACTACCTCAATCTTAAGTAACTTACAAAATCATGCTTTCTATAAGTGTGTGATAGGAAACTTTGAGTGCATATATATATATATATATATATATATATATATATATATATATATATATATATGTGTGTGTGTGTGTGTGTGTGTGTCTGTGTTTCTTCCTAATTTTTAATTTTATTTTGAATGTGTAGGAAAATACGGGTGATGCAATTGGAAATGGTGGCCACAAATCAATTTGAATCATTAAAGTGAATGGTGAAGACCTTTTGAACAAGATGTTTATTTTTGTTGACACTAAATATGAGTACATTTGGTTTTGTAGAGATCTTTACTAGTGAATTTGAACCAACATTGCTTTATTACTATTGATAGTACACAAAGTGTGTTTCTTTTGTTGAAATTTATTTCAAGTATATGCATTTGAATTATTTTTATTCTATTACTTATCATTTAAATTAGTGCTTCATATATATATATATATATATATATATATATATATATATATATGTGTGTGTGTGTGTGTGTGTGTGTGTGTGTGTGTGTGTGTGTTGTGTGTGAGAACTTGATGCAAACAAATATAGTTTTTTAACCACAAAATTGTGGCTAATATAAGTATTTGAAAAATAACTTTGTAGTGTAGACAAAATCGCCACGCTTAGAAAGTGTGGCCATAGGGATTGTCAATCTGGCATTGTTAACGATAAAAGTTGCTCTAGAAGCCACACTTTGTAAGCGTAGCCTATAACGTGACAAAGATCACGCTTTATAAGTGTAGCCTTATGTCATAAAAGCGTGGCTATATGAGAAAATAAAGTGTGGCCTTTGTACCGTATCGGCCACACTTTTAAAGCGAGGCTTCTAAGGCAACACCTACAAAGCGTGACCAATAATCAAAGGTTACGGTACTTTAGGCCACCCCCCAAAAAGCGTTGCCTAAAGTCGTAAAGCGTTGCCTTTGCCCAAATGCTATACTTCTTGGCATCTTAGGCCACACTTCTCAGGGGTGGTTGTAGGCCTAAAATGCTGTAGTGATATAACAAAAATGGAATTGCTGAATAACTTTTACAGTTCCCGCCCTCGGGTCAGGGAATAGAGCTAACTGCATCGGATAAAACAATAGTTTCTAGTCCGAATCCTGGACTCGGTTCACGCTTGAAAGCAGCAATTCTTCTTCCAATTTTGTACATTAAACTATTGTGTATATAAAGAAGAGTTCGCCCTTCTTCAAAGAGATAAAGTCACACGGCCTCTCAAGAGAAAGACTTCCGTCATCGTTAGAATTCGGGGGGGGGGGGGGGCCAAATTACATAAAGAAAGGAGACTGTTCCTCATTTGTTTCTATGTCCAATTCTAGTAAAGATTCATTTCATTAATTGATCTTTAAAGTCTTGGAAGTTAAGACATGTGTAATTATTTAAAACTTACTTCCAATTCCTATACCAGCAAAGTTGACTAGCTCACTACATGTAGGATTTGGAATCCACTCATATAACTTTAATAATAAACAAACTCAAACGCCAAATAAAGATAGAACCCTTGAAAATGGTTACGGGCAGCCGGTGCACAAAATATTTTGTATTTATGCATGGTTCAAAGAACAGGTGTAATATAGACATTTTACCTAATGCTTGCATTATGGTTGTTTTCACAACTCGAATCCGTGACTTGTTATAGGTCATACGTAGAAAATTTTACCGTTACTCCAAAGGTCGATCCCTTTCGTATTGGAAATAGTTACATCGACCATTAAATATATAGGTTAATATAAGGTAGAATGGCTAGCTACCTAATAATAGGTGAATTTAACTATAATTAGGCCCTAAAGAACCACCTTCTTGTATAGTTTTGATGATAATAGTGATAACAAAATGCTCTGATTAGTGCTTTTCATGCTTTGCAGGTGATATATGACAAGAGAAGGCAATGGAGTACTTTTGGGATCAAATATGGAGAAAAAGAGGCCAATCGTAAAAAATTCTGCCAAGTGAACCACGCGAAGCAGCTCAAGCCAGGCCTGAAGAAGGACTGCCACGGTTCCACCGCGACCGCGGCAGAACCACGGTAGAAGACTGTCACGGACAAGTTGAAATTCATAGAAGGTATGTGGCCGCGGTTTGACCGCGACCGCGGCAGAGGCGGAAAAGTTCAGGGACTTAAGTGCAAAATACGGGATTTTTAGCCCAAAAACCCTATTTTAAATACTAGACTTCGCCCAAAGGAGGAAGGAGGGTATTAGAGAATATTTTAGCAAGCAAAACAATTGTGAGAGATCACCTAAAACATCATATCTTCTTCTTCTTTAACTTTTCTTGCAATTATGATTATGAATATTGTTCTAGTTTATTTACCCATAGTTATGAGCAGCTAAATATTTTGTCTAGGGTTTTGTTGGAACCTATTGAGGGATGAACTTCTTGTTTATGTGAATACAGTTGGCCAGTTTAATTTTTATTTGTTCAACTACGTGTTTGTTGTAGTTAATTGACAGGATCCTCAATTAGCTGTGCCTATATAGTGTGCATAACTCGAGAGAGAGTGCATATTTAGGTGAATGTTGAACAACACCACTCCTAACGTATAAGAGGGATCTATAACTGCGGGTTTAAAGGCGGGATTAGGAATAAAAAAGCCTTGGGTGCAATCTTAAGTGAACCGTGATAAACAAAGCTAGCTAGTGTATCTCAGGAGAGTGCATTTAGTAAATTACTGTGATTACTCGGGAGAGATTTACGGTAAGAAGAGCGTTCATGATTGATAGAATGTGTTGGTGAATTTGTATGAAACATAAACAGAAGGAATTCCATCAATAGGGGAAATCAGTACCTTGGCGCTTTCTCATTATTGTTTACAGCTTAGCATCTTTAATTTGCAGCTATTAGTTACTGTTAATCTTAGTTATTAAAAACACCATCAAATGTGATTCTCAACGTTTGGGAAATTGATTCTAAAGAGTTTAGTAGGTCTAAAGATAGTGATTGATAG